GCAGTGCGTCAGCCTCTGGGCTTGGCTACCAGCTCCAACCAGGGAGACAGACCCCCCTCCACAGGGCTGGTCAGTCAGGTTTCTGAGCCTGCGTGGCTAAAGCCGGCCCCAGACCCCGCAGGAACCGGTGAGTCTTCTGGCAGGCTCTCCTGGGATTTCTGGCCTCTGCCTTCAACCACAAGTGGTTGCAAATCATTTATTAGATAGGAGCAAAGAAGAAATTTGATTTCTGTGGGGACTCAGAGTTTCCCACTCGTGGTAGAGGAGGCACAGGAGGACAGCCCTTGCTTATTAGAGCGACCCCTTTATTACCCTCAATCCTTTTTAAACTTCCACCTCCAGTCAGGGGTGCTGAGGAATATTGTATGGAAAAATACTGAATGTTATGTGGGAAAATGATAAATGAGGAAATTATCTGGAGTTGTGAAGACAAGTCAGGGGCTGGCTGGGGCCCAATGGCAAGAAGCTGTTACCCTGGGTAAGAGTGAGCAGTCCAAGATGGCTCGGGAGTGCAGGTAAGCTAGGCAGGGAGAGCCAGAGGCCAAGGAGGGGGCAAGGCACTCCCCAGGTGGGCAGAGGGACCCTGGGCTCACAGCCTAGTCATCTGGGCATCACAGTACAGGTCACAACATCCCCCAACTCAGTTGTTCATTGGCTACGAGCATAGCGCCAGACTATTGTGCCCTCTGGAGTGGCTCAGTCCTTGGCCTGGAAGGGAGGGCTGGCATGAAGTGACCTGCCCTCACCCCTTTCTTTGAATCTCAAGGACAAAGGTGGGGCAGACAAAGCTTGTGACACAGAGAACTAAAAAGAAGGACTCCATTTTCATTTCAAGCTCCTTGGATGGTCCAGGAAGGCTGCAGGAGTCTGGAGGACAGCCTGATGAATTAAACTTACAGGTCAGCATGACTGCAGTCAAGGCATGAGGCAGGGCCGTCAGCAGGGATCAGCAGGAGCTGCTTGTGGGCTCGGATTGGGAGGTTAGGCTTTGTCCTAAGACCAATGGGGAGCTATGGAAGCTTTAATAGACAGGAGTGACATAATCAGAATGGCATTTTAAAAAGCTCCCTTGGCTGTTGTGTGGAGAAAGGATTGAGGGGCCAGAGAGAAGATAGAAAGGTCAAGCAGGAGGCTATTACAGCACCCAGGCAAGAGAATGTGGGGGCCTGGGTTGGGGCTGGAGCTATGGAGGCAGAGGGAAATGGGCTAGTTAGGGATTAGTTATGGATGAATGCAGTCATGCCTACTAACTGGTCTCCCTGCTTCCACCTTTGCCCCTTACAGTCTTGTCTTCATAGAGCAGCTAGAATGATCCTGGTTAAAACATAAAAGTCCAGGTCAGGCCACTCCTCTGGCTTCTCATCTCAGAGTAAGAGCCAAAGTCCTTCCTTTGGCTTACAGGGCCAACAGAGTCAGCTCGACTGCCCCCACATCTCTCTGGCCTTATCTACTGCTCCTAAGCATTTCACTTACTCTACTTCAGCCATTTCTTCACTGTTCTTAGCACATGGCAAGCACATGCCTCCTCCCCCTGCCCCACACAGCACCTTTGTATTTCCTGCTCCCACTGCTTGCAATGCAATTTCCCTAGATACCCACACAGATGCTCCCGTATCAGCTCAGGTCTTTGCTTAAATGTCACCTTAAGTGAGATCTTTCTCAATTCCCTTTTCAATTCCCTATGTTCCCGGAACATAGTAGATTCTTAGCAAATAATTAGTTGAATGAATGAGTTGGGGTTGAGGATGCCGGAGGTAGGCTGAGGATATACGAGGGATAGAGTTGCCCTCCGGGCCTTACTACCCCAGCGGGCTTAGAAAGTACGCCAGCAGAAACCAGTACAGCAAGGTGAGGAGGAAGACGGTGGGAGACATGGAGGCCAAGAGAGAGAAAGAGAGAGAGAGAGAGAGAGAGAGAGGGTGTGTGTGTGTGTGTGTGTGTGTGTGTGTAGGGGAAGGGGTGCGCGGTGCTGCCCCTAGTGGCCTAGGGTCTGGGTAAGACAGACATAGATCTGGGCCAGGCTCTGATAAAGGAGATAATAGGTTGTGCCCAGAAGCATGGGGTAGGAATGGAAGGGGTGGGGTAGAGGGCATGTGGATGGGAATTACTCTGCCTGGGGTTGTGTGGGCCAAAGCTTTGTTCTAAGGGAGGGGACGATGGGGGCAGCGGAGTTGGGCCTTGAAGAGTGAGTAGGAGTTTGCTGGATGGACAAGAAAGAATAAAGGCATTTTGAGTTTGAGAGAAGATCTGAGAGGTATGTAAAGACAGGATGGTATGGTGTAGCAGAGGAAGCAAGACCAAGCAGTCAGCAATATGAGTCAGAGAGGCTTGAAATGCTAGGCCTACAACTGATAGATCAGGGACTCCATCCTGAGGGCTCTGGGGGCCATGAAGGGGTCCATGAAACAAGGGAGTGGGAGAATGCTCCAGCTGCCCTGAAATAGACCCCAGAAATGGTCGGGAGGCAGAACCCCAGACACAGTGGTGGGTAGGATGTGATGGTTGGGGTGAGGGTGCAGATGATAGCCAAATCTCTGGTTTGAAGGCCTCTGAGGTAAGGACCTGAGAGAGGGGAAGGTTTGGGATCAGTAATAAGCGCTGGGTCCGGGCCAGGTGGGCTGGGGCACTCAGAATTGGGGATCCTGGACCTGTGTCTCCTCCTGAGAGTCGGCCGCCCTGTCTCGGAACTGGGACCCGGGTTACAGAAAGCTTGTGACGCAGTCACTCCCTGCGCATCCCGGGATTAAAGGCTAGCACAAGTAGCTGGTGGATCTACAGCGCCGGGTGGGAGTGGGGAGCCGAGTCTGCGAGTCTGAGCCTGGCCGAGCTGTGGGGGGCCGTCCCCGTGGCTCGGGTATTTATTTTTCCGCCTGCTCCTGCGCCTAATGGCTTCCCCGGCTGCCCGTCATCCCTTCTGCGCCCGCCTAGGACGGGGTGGGGCCCGGACCTTGTCCCTGGGGCGAGGCGGGGTGGGGAGGAAAGGGCAGAGGCCTCCACCGGCCCCACCCGACTCCCAAGCGGCTTTAGGGGGCGAGAATGAGAGGGTGCGTGCGTGCGTGCGTGTGTCCGTGTGTGCGCGCGCGCGCGCGCGCGCGCGGCGCCTTAGCCCGGACACCCCGTGCGCTCCAGACTCGGCCTCCCTGCTCGCCGTCTGACCCCTCGCCGAGCAGAAGGAGACACAAGCGCGGCGGGGCCCGAGGTCATCCGCAGGACCCAGGCCCAGGACTCCAGCCCTCTCCTCGCCTCACTTCTCAGGGGGCACCTGCCCGCCGCCCTGGCCTGGGAGCCCTCAGGGAGGGGAGGAGGCGGCGGGAGGAGCCTTTGGAAGGCGCCTCTCAGAACGACTTAAAGCAGGAACACGATGTCTACAAGAAGCAAGCAGAAATAAAAATTTACGAGATTATGTACACAACCCCTGAAAAAATGCAGAGTAAGCACGGATCACAGTATTCTTCAGGACAGGGCAGTTCTTACCAAGGGAGTGTGTAGAGACAGGGTCACAGTTCAAAAAGGTTTGTTTGTTTGTTTGTTCTTCCAGAGCTTGACACGACTGAGTCTAAAACTTGACAGTTGGAAATGTACAAGAACAGCCTTGACAAGTTAGTAAATGAAGAACAAGGAGAGGTTGGCATATTAAACTCCACAACAGTAGTAATTAAATCAATACGATCGTGTCAGTGGAATCGAGTCCAGTAACAGAGACTCTTACAAAAATATGAAAAGGTCCTAACACTAAGAAGTTAAATAAGCCTCGGAAAATGAGTGAAGGGTTTAGGGCAATTCACGCAAGAACTTTTGGAGGGAGAAGACGTCCTGTTCCCCACTGTTCAGTCAGCGCCCAAGAGCAAACACAAGAAATATTAGTCGAATGAATGTGCATCACTGGTAATCAGAGGAATGCAAATTAAAGCAAGTACGTATCTTATTTTACTTATCAGATTGCCAAAAAGGAAAAAAAAAGATAATATCCTGTGTTGGCAAGAGCATGAAGGAAAAGGGTACTGTCGTGTGCTGATGGTAGGAGCGTGAACTGTAAGTCTTTTGTGGTTTGTGATAGTACAAAATTGAAAATAGCACAAACGTTCTTTAGTCGGGGCTCCCTAAATAAACCGGGACTGAGTAAATGAGGCTGCTTCCCGCCCAGAGCGCGCTGTGGAGAGCGCAGATCCGTGTGACCCGGAGTCCGGGACGGTTTGTTCGTGTGAACAGCTATAATTCACCAACTCTGATACCATTTATATTTTTAATAAGTGCAAGTCTGTGCAGGCTTGTGCAACGGAGCCGTGAAAGGCTCCAGGTCACCCCACCACCCTGTAACCGTCAGGCCTCGGAGAAGGGGTTGTGTTTACCCTTGGCTTTGGCAACAGGAGCTAAGCGAAGGGTGCGGCCCTGGGCCCTCTTCCTCTCCCCCCCCGCCCCCCCCGCCTTCTCTTGTCTCCCACTGCCCCTCCCGACACTCTCTAAGCGCGCCCCCTGCTGGGGGGAAAGGGGAAGGGGAAAGAAAAAGGGGTCAGGGCGAGAATAAAGTGGGCAGGGGGCGGGAGAGGAGAGAGGGAGAAACCCGTTAACAACGCCGCCGCCGAGAAGGCCAGGAGGCAGATAAGCCCCCACGGCAGTGCCGGTGATCTTCCCACGCTGCGCAATCCTTCCTGCAGCTTCTAGGGGCTGCCCTCACTCTGCTGGTGGCCAGGCGGGACCTCTCCTGTCTGTGCTCACCTTAGTCATACCTGTGCACACACAGTTCCTCACCCTGAAGAGCAATTCCCTCCTCATCCCTTAGTTCTCGGCTGACACCTTCCCTGACTCCACCGAGGTCCAGCCCCTTGGCGGGACATCACTTCTAGCACCCCAGACCTCACCTCCCTATTACTGTAACTGCCCCTTGTGGTTTATATCTGCCATCCATCTAGGCTGTGGCCTCTTTGAGGACAGCGCAGCACCTGTGTTGCTCACCAGTGCACCCGGTGCCTAGGACAGGCTTGGCACCTGAACAGAGGCACTGACATGTTCAAGGCCGAGCAGAGGGAATTTATTAGAGAGGCAGGGGGCAAACACATATTTACACGGGCCGCGCCGGGGCATTAAAAGCAGAAGCGGGGACGGGAGGTTCCGGAAGCAGCTCAGACGAGTTCCACCTTGGCATTGGGGTACACCGCCACCACGTCGTAGCCCTCAGGTGGCTTGACGCGCGCCTTGGCGTGGCTCTCGCAGTAGAGCCGCTCGTCCAGAAAGAAGTAACCGCGCTGCTTAAGGTTCAAGCCGCAGTCGCTGCACATGAAGCATTCAGGGTGGTAGAGCTTGTCCCGCGCCTTGACGATGGTGCCCCTGATGGGGAGACGGGGAGAGGACTGCTTCCGGCGACTGACCGATTCACGAGCACGCTCCCATCCAGGGCCTCGGGCGGGGCCGGGGGAGTGCCGGGGTCGGGGGAGTGCCGGGGTCGGGGAAGCAGGGGAGGGTACTCACACTATGCCGTGGCCGCAGCGCGTGCACTCGGGCAGTCCTTGAAGGCCACTCAGCGGAGCGCTCAGCTTGCTGGCCGTGGGCTTGAGGTTGCGAGGGCCGCTGGAGCCAGGCCGCTCCCCTGAAAGCCGGAGCGCAAGCAGCATGAGCCCGGTGCGGAGGTCAGAAAAGGGAACTTCACTTCTGCGCAGTGTGGGATGGACCCAGCTTCCGGGACCACCAGCACTGCGACTGGGGACGAGGTTTGGAGGGGGAGGGGCCGCGACAGGGGTGGAGTGGGAATCGGACAGTGAGGCGCCGCGAGGGGCGTGGGAACACTCGGAGGAGACGCGGCAGGGGTAGATGGCTGGGAGGCAGGACGGGGGGTGGGTCGCAAAGCGGCGGGGGCGGGGCGGGGCTCTCCGGGGCACCCGAGGGAGTGGTTAGGCAGGTGGGGCAAGGTGGCGGGAGTCTTACCGCCCTCCCCAGCCTCTAGCATGCCCTGCAAGTAGCGGAAGGAGCCTGACTGCTTGGGCTCCGAAGCCGAGGGCTCGGCCGGGTCCCGCAGCATCCTGTACACCTCTGAGCCCAGGTCCACGCCGCAGTCACGGCTCCGTGGGAGGCCTCTGGCTGTGTCCGCGCTGGGCAAAAGAGATGCACCAAGGGACACGGTTGTGGTACCAGCCTTCCCCCTGCCAGCACAGGGGTCTGGTGAGGTTTTCAGAATGAAACCAGCTGAGACCCAGAGATCAAGTGTCAGGGGTCAAGATGTGACCCAGTGAGATCTGAGAGATCTGGGATTAAGATGGGATCTGGGTGTGGCTTCAAAGGCCACTTCTCTGTACTACCTGTGAAGTGGAGACACATGCAGGGTGTTCATTTGGGTCAGTAAGGTAGCCTCACTGCTGCTGCCATTGTGATGGAATGGGAGGTGAGATGGCTGCCCATAAGGAGGTCCCAGGCCTGGCCTGCCATCTTCTAGCCCAATCCCGGTGGCTGAGGGCCTCCTGCTGGTCGCTGGACTGCCATCCTACGAGAGAGAGGGGCCTGAGGCACTGAGAAACCATTGGGGTAGGGCTTCTGGCCATTCCTTATACATTCCATCCTTACCCCATTATGCCAGGCCTTCTTGGATGTTGGCTGGTTACCCCTGCTCTGGCATCTCTGGGCTGTGGTGCCCAGCCAGGGACAGGCTGAAACTTGGGCCTGGTTCAATCCCAGAAGAAATGAGAAATGACCGTGGAAAGTCAGACACAAAAACCTAAGTGCCTGAGACTCAACTTGGCACATGAGCCATGTGGTGGTTCTGACCACCAGCGCCCGTAATGGATGGTGTTGGGGCATGACCATTCCAAGTAGCCTTTTAAGGCCAGCGTGACTGGAGCAGAGTGTGTGGCTTCCTTGCAGAGATGGTCCTGGTGCCAGGCCTTCTCACCTGCCAGAACTGTGCTGGGTATTGTAGGGGCCTGTAGCTGGGAACATGAAAAAGAAAGCCCTGTCCTGCAGCCAGGAAGAGTCATCAATCACTGTGTGCCCAAAGCACACAATGGGGGTGGGGGGCAGACTGAGGTTCAAAGGCATCATTGTGAGGTCAGCCCCTTTCAGGACTGTATGTTTGCCTCCATTCCATGCTCTGCAGGGCGATACGCATGGCCCTTCTACAGGCAAAGCAGATGAGGGGCAGCGGCTGGGCCAGGGCTTAAAGATCCCCACCCTACCACTCCACAGCCAGCCTGGTGCCCTTGGCTGAAACATTTGGGGAAATGCCTTGACCGTGTGTCCTCAGCTCAGGAGAAAATGGCAGTATCTCCATGGGTATGGATCTGAATGGGGACTGGGGATCTTTGTCTCTGCAGAGTCCAAGGCTATGCTGCCCCTAGCTTGCAGGCCCACACAGGCATGCACACTCTCACAAGAACTTTCACAGACAAACACATGCACAAAGACAACACACAAGGTCTAGCCAGTCCACTGACATATACCTAATCATACATACACAGTCTCATATACTCAGAGCCAGTGCCGGTCACCCTGGGGAGCACCATAATGGTAGCCTCCATGGCTGGGATGAGGTTGGTGGCCAGAGCAGCCTGACTTTCGGATAAGGCACAAGAGTTCAGGACAGGAAGGTGGGTCTCAGCCTCAGCCTGGGAGGTGACATGCAAATTTCCCCTCTGCTCTACACTGGGAACCAGGAGGCTAGGTGGTGGGGACAAGATGCCTACTCTAAAGGGAAAGAGCCTGTATCGGACTCAGGCAGCCTCCAGCACTGGGGCACAGTGGAGCCTGCAGAGCTCTGTCCTGACTGCCGCTGCTTTTTCTGCAGCCTCTGAGCTGGGTGGGAGCTTGAGGAAAGGGCGGACCAGCCACTGAGTGGGGGTGGTGCCCCCATTTCCCCCACCTCAACAGACAAAGGGGAGGGTCTCCCGCTGCCCAGGTGGGCCCGTATCACCGAGGCAATAGCAGTAGGAAAGCCCTCTTCCCCACTGGGCCGAACAAAAGCCTCTGAGAAACCCGATCACTTTTGCACATGTGTCTGCAGGGCAGACAGGCAGGCAAGGCTGGCCTGGCCTGTAATGGGGACCAGATGGGCCATGGGCTATGGGGGCAGGGCTGGGCCTGGTACGGAGAAGGCTGGGACAGGAAGGGGAGTCAGAAGGTCCTGGAGGAAGGAGGCCCTCACTCACCCAGCAGGGTCATCAAAGCCACTGCCCCTCCCATGGCCACACATGCAGCCACCTCTCTCGGTCTGAACTCAGTGGTTAGGATACACATGGTGACCTCAGTCTCGGGTGAGTCCCACCTCTACCACCTCTCTGAATCTGTTTTTTCATCTGTTAAATGGACTGTAAATGGGGATTGTAATGGTCTCTACATCCTAAGTTCCTTGTGGGGATAAAATGAGACAGTTGCATGTAAAGCACTTAGCATAGTGCCTGGCACACAGCAGATGCTTGTTGGATAAAGGGCGGCTGTCATGGGCATTCCTGAGTTCCTATTCCTATTCCTGGATGTCCCCCCCTCTGTGTGGCAGTGCACCTGGTGTCACGTGCTCCCCCTCTCTGAGTATCTGCAGCTGTTGATTTGGTTGTTGAAGCCTCAGTGGGATAATCAGCAGAATGGGGGTAACTGCCTGCTTGTTCATCAGCTCCCACGTGACTGTGGTCAGAATCTGGGACACTCGGGGCGCCTGGGTGGCTTAGCTGGTTAAGTATCTGCCTTTGGCTCAGGTCATGATCCCAGGGTCCTGGGATCGAGCCCCACATAGGGCTCCCTGCTCTCGGGGAACCTGCTTCTCCCTCTCCTCCCTGCTTGCGCGCGCGCTCTCTCTCTCTCTCTCGAATAAATAAATAAAATCTTAAAAAAAAGAAGAATCTGGGATACTCAGCTTGGATGGAGGTGGGCACTGAGTCCAGAGGAGCGGGTGGTACCTCCGGGAGGCCAAACCCCAGCTCCCTGCAGGTCTGGAGGTGACAGGCTGTGTGTGTGAGGGCTGCCTGCTCTACCCGGCTTGCCTTAAGTCATCCCCTGGTTCTCAGCTTAAATGCCATCCTCTCCAAGAAACCTTCCCTAACCGTCATCCTTCCTCTGCCCTGGGCTGGACCAGATGCCTCTTGTGTTCCCACCTGAGTAAGGCCCGAGGGAAGAAGGGTCTCCTATGACCCTACATGACCTGCAGAACCTATTTGCATCGGGGGTGCATGTCAGGGTACCTTGTGCTGGTCTTAGGGCCAACTGTGGTTTTCTCCTCCTCTGATGTCTCTGGCTGGGCCCACCCACTCGCTGCTGCAGGCGGAGGGTGGGAGCACTGTGGGGACAATGGGCCCTGTGTCTGTGTTCCTGAGGACACAGCCCTGCGGGGACTGGGTGGGGGTGTTTCTGTCGCCACCCATGGAGCTCATGACTTTTAAGTACAAGAGGGGGATGGCAGCTGAGGGGCAGCCCCCTCAGCTTAGAGAAAATCCCTCTGACTCCAGCCTGAGCCACTGGCAGCCTGGCCGTTGAGGAGGTCAGTAAAGGAAGGTGTAGGGGCAGGGGCCGCTGCTCTCCAGCGCCCCTGCCCCCAGGCGCCCTGGCCCTGAGCCTCTCCTGAAGGACAGAATAGAGCTGAGATTCAAATTCCAAAACTCCTGCACTCGTGCCCTGTCCATCCTGCTCTCACATGGGACATTGGGCCTCACATAGGTGCTGGGATCTGCACAAGGCTGCTGCCCGCCGCCTGGCCGATTTGTCAACCCCTGGTCACCCCTGGCCCCTTGGACCAGGGCAAGCTCTGGAGACACAAGTGTGGCCACGAATCTCTGCAGGAACAGCTGAGGTCCTGGACAGTGGGACCCAAGAGACTGTCTGTGGTTCTGCCCCATCACCTCATCCCTTGCTTCTGCCCTCCCACCCTCAGAGCTTTCTTTTTCCTGAACCTATGATGCACAATCTCACTTCTGAGCCTTTGCATGTGATTCCTTGCACACTTCCCTTCTCCATGCTTCTTTGCTGGCCTTATTCTTCCTAGTCCTGCGGGTCTTGGCTTGGATTCTCCCTCCTCCAGGAAGCCCTCTCTGAACCGTTAGGTGAATCATGTGCCTACTCTGGACTCCTTTGGCCCCTGGCTTCTGCCATTCCAGAGTTGCTAAGTGCCTCTTCCTTTTCATAACGGGCACTCCCTGGCATGTAGTAAGCATCTGGCCTCCGAGATTCCAGCAAAAGCAAGGTAGGGAACAAATATCAGAACAAGAGGATTGGGATAAATGGTGAGGGAGATGGCCTTCTATACGGTGAAGGCTCCATGGTGAGAGAGTAGACACAAGCAGGCCTAGAAGGCCATGGCCCCACATGCTGAGTCCCACAGCTCTGGCTCCATCACAGACCAGTCCAATCTCCACCTTGTCCAAACTCTCTAGCCCAGAGATGTTGAGGAGGCTCTGGATACTTCAGCCCTACCCACTTGGCTACCCCTCACGTCCATCACGTCCATGGCAAAACGAGGCCCTAGAGCAGCTTCTTCCCGCCCCCGCTCCCGCATTTGAGGACAGTATCATAGTTGTGACTCCTGTCATACATGGCAAGGTGACTGTGGCCTGAGGTCTGCTGGGTGCAATCACAGGATGGCCAAGAGAAAACTTCAGCCTTCGATAGAGCAAGGAAGTGCCTTATATTCTAAGGTCAGCCTTGAGGCCCAAGTTTGGCTTTAGCCGGGTGGGTGTCCAACGCTAAGATGAGACAGAAGAGAGTACCCAAACAGTCTGAGGTCACTCCACAGCCTACAGTTTCCCCCCAGCCAGCCCCCAAGCCCAGTGACTTCCTCTTGGTCTGGCATCACTAGGCACCAGAGTGAAACCCAGCCGGGTGGGTGGTAGCCCTGAGCCAAGGCCTAGCCCCGTTCCTGCCCACTCTAAGTACCTTTATCTCAGCACCTAGGACAGCCTAGAGTACAAACAGAGCTCCCAGCAGATGCTCATCACCTGGGGAGCACAGGATGGGGCATGGACATGGACCAGAGAAGTCTGCTGCTTCAGTCTCTGGCCTGGGCATCCGAAAGCCAGACAGCAAGACATCTAGTGCAATTAAACCCACGGACCAGGCCTGGCCCCTCTTCCCTGGGCTTGCTCTGAATCAGGCCAGGCCCGGTGGTGTCCATACATACCTGGGCCTCAGGGTCAGTGTGGATCCTTTGTGCCTGAGCCTTGCTGTCTTCTGGGGCACCGGGCCAGCTCCTGCCTTCAGGTCTGTGACAGGAATTAGGACGGTCAGATAGGTCTGCTTACTGTGCCTACCATGACTGGGACCAGGACCAAGAGGGGCTGCGCTCTGTGCCCAGAGCCACCCAGGACCAGGCCTGGCACTCTGCATGGCAGAGGACACCACTGCCACACTTGCCCCTGCACCAGAATGGTGGCCGTTGTGGGCAAGGAGACAGAACTCTAGATCTGCCACCTGCCTAGGGCAGGGCTGTGTGTTCCAGCCCCACCAGCTGCTCCATGCCTCTCTGGTCTCATTCCTAGACAGGATGCAACAGAAGCCCTTCCGCTTCCCCACTTTTTCACCCTCTCCGTGGCCTCAGCAAAAAGAAGGTGAGCTCATAGCAGGGTGCGTCAGGCCTCACACATTGATCAGCGAGGAGCCCATCTGCTTACCCTCTTCCATCCACAGCCCATCCACAGCCTCTGGCCTGGCCTGGAGGTCAGGCATCCATGGGCTCTGGGGGAGGTGACATAAAGGCTTTGAGGGGTGCTCCTCCCCTCTTGCTGCCGGCAGAGTCATCACCAATGTCTGCCCAGCCCAGATGGGAAACAGGCCATTAGGAAATTCCTGCTTCACCATAGAAACCAAAAGCCAAACACCACTCAGGAGGGAGAAAAACATCATAAACCTGCCATAAGCCCGGCAGGCAAGGCAGGCGGGGCTGAGAGGCTATGGGCCTGGGGCCCAGCCCTGCCATTCGGTAGCCCTGTGAGGAGGCAAGCCATAGGGCGCACGGACCCTGGACTGACAGGTGGGTGTGAAGTGAGGCTGGTTAGATGGTTAGACGGAAGGGGAATAATGTCCCCATTCACCTCAAAAGGCCTCCTGGGGCTTTCCAAGAACTCCTCACTGGGCCAGCAGCTCAACACGGCCTCTCTCACCCCAACTCACTGAGGGATTTTAACTGTCTACACCTGTAGACCACACTCACTCTACACTTCCTCACCCTGGCCCGTTCCCTAACCCAGTACAGACTAGCTTCTCTCCTCCAGAGCCTTTCACACAGGCCTGGGCGACCAAGCTCTGCTGCCCGAGGGCAACACCATCCCCACTGGTGCCTGGCCCCTGCCCTCTCAGCCAGGCTCCCAGGGACTGCCCTAACTCACAGCTCCACCTATGGCCTCCACCCACTCGGAACTCTGCTGAGATCAGTCTAGGACATCGCATGTGGTTAAGACGGCCTTATACTTCCCTGAAGCTCTGCCCAGAAGAGAAGTACAAGCCTGTGGTCTGGAGGTCAGAATGCACAAAGTACCCAGAGCAAAGAGCGTGGCCCAAGGCAGCAGATCAGAATGAAGTGCTTATTCAGTCTCCATCCCTAGGCCTTCACTTCAGGCCTGAGAGGTGCTAACATCTACCATCTTTTTTTTTTTTTTTTTTAAGATTTTATTTATTTATTTGACAGAGAGAAAGAGACAGCGAGAGAGGGAACACAAGCCTGGAAGAGGGAGAAGCACGCTTCCCGCTGAGCAGGGAGCCCAATGTGGGCCGGATCCTGGGACCCTGGGATCATGACCTGAGCCAAAGGCAGACGCTTAACGACTGAGCCACCCAGGCGCCCAACATCTACCATCTTTAAGCAAAATGACAGCCCAAGGATGGGCCATGTAACTGCATCTTGTAACATACACAATGGGCAACACAGACCCCACCAGAAGCCCAAGTTTGGAGCTGATGCCAGGAAGGTTCTGGGCCTATAGAAATGCCCACAAAGTATGGGTTAGCTTGGATTGTTAGATAACTGGCTCCAAGTTCTAGACAAAATAAGCAGAGCCCGGAAGGTGGGCCCTTCCTTCACTTTTCATCCTGTGGAGAAGTCTGTGGAGGATTAGAGCCCTCTATACATAAGAGGGCAGGTAGGGAACTGGTCTGGATAGAGTTCTGGGGGTGGGGGCACAGAATAGCTCTCTCCAGTCAGCTCACCAGGCTGATCTTCCACAGAAACCATGTTGAAGGGGTCTTTGGAGCATAGGTCCTGGCATAGCAGGCAGGACAGAGAGCAGGGTCAGAGGCCTTGCTGGTGAGAGGTGCTCAGGAAAAGAAATGCTGGCCCTGGGGGTCAAGGTGGCCTTCATGTCTTGATCTCCCAGAATCTGCATGTGTGAGAACTGGGAATGGGGGCTAGAAGACAGGATCCCAGATTTTCGCCCTGAGCAGACCTGGTACATCATAAGCATCCAACCTCCCAATCCTAAAATGGTCCCATTTTGGAGTTAAGGAAACTGAGAGCTTTGAGATTAAATCACTTGCTGGAGGATAACACAGTTCTTAAGTGCAGAGCTGGGACTTGAACTCAGATCTGTGATAGTAGAGAATGTGCTCTCACCTGCTCCATGGCCAGGCAGCATTTGGGGGCAGAGTAGAACAGGTCAGGGGACCCCTGGCTCCATCCATGCTTGGCTTGGAACAAATGACCAGGAAAGGAAGGAAGGAAGGAACGGGGACCTCCACCCTGCCCCCATCCTGCTACCCTCCCCTGACATCATTCCCTCTGGGAACCTCCTGACTCAGACCCCCTACAAGCCCCTGCTGCCTCCCCCACCCCACTACTACCAGGGCTTCCCTTCTTTAGCCATGAAAAATCAAGGCCGGAGGTGAGTCAGGGCCCAGGAAACCAGCCAAGTGGGGCAGCCACAGAGCCCACTCGTGGGCAGAGCAGTGCTGATGTTTCCCCAGCCAGACTGTACCTCAGTCTGGGAGAGGGCGATGAATGTGATCCTGTTTGCTGGAGAAGGAAACCCAGGCTCATAGAGGTCATCTGGTGTACCTAAGATCCCACAGAGTCTGGATTACAACCAGCTCTGCTGAACTCCCAGGCCAGGGCCCACTCCCCTTGGAGTTGCACTCAGCTCCAAGAGCACAGTCAGGGGTCCTGACCCCAACCTGGACCCAGAGCCGGGCCAGACACACATGGAGGCTATCTCAGAAGCCTTCCTAACATGTTTAATGGCTCCCAGCCCTGCCAGCTCTAACGCAAAGTTAGCTGTGTTGTGGTTTAGGGAGGCGTCCACAGGGGAATCACGGAAAGTCCCTGTTAGCAGTGAACGTGGCAGAGCTGAGCAGTTATGTCTGACTTCTCTGGATCCAAGCAAGAGAGGGGGAAGGGAGGTCCCACTCAGCCAGGACCTGGCCAACTGCCTTTAGAACTGAACAAAGACCCAGGGCCTGACTAGAGCTGCGGAAGCCTCAGGTGGACCTTCAATCCTAGACCATTTATAAGGCACATATGGGGCTCGGGGATCCCCAATCCTCCCCTTCATGTAGGCTGTATGGCATGATACAGGCCATAGCATCCAGATTTAACCAGGGCAGAGGCAGGGCCCGTAGTGGGGCCAGCCGAGGCAGGACAGCCGTGGGGTGGCAGGAATGGTCGGCAGCCACTCCTAGGAGTGAGAGAGACCCGAGGACAAGTTTTGCTCCCCCACTCCCTTGCTGTGTGACTTTAGGCACCTGCTAACCGTTCGGAGCCTCAGCTGTCTCATCTGTAATACGGGGACCGTACCAGGAGACTGAAACCACCCCGCCCCCAACCCCCCCTCACCCCGGCCCGGCCAGCCCTGTGCGTACCTGCTCACAGAGAGTGTGAGGTGGTCATGGCAGCCCTTGATGCGGTTCTGCGCCTCCAGGTGCGTCATGAGCTCTGTGCTTTCCCCATTGATGGCCTGGATCAGGTCTCCGGGACACAGGGCGGCCAGTGCAGCCTTGCTGCCGGCATGAACCTGTGGGGGGACAAGCCAGAGGCCTGGGCGTCGGTCATGACGTGGCCTCGCTGCAGTCTCTGCCCTGGACCCCCTCCAACCTCAGAACCCGGGCCGTGCGGCCCTGCTGCCCACACGACCTGGGGTGGGGGGGTCCAGCCCAGAGACCGGTTGAGTCCCCATGTGGTCTTGCCACAGCCTCTGCTCTAAACACCCCCAGTGCCCGCCCCTGAAGCACTGCTAGGGTGTGAGGGCATATAAGAGGGGCTTCTTTGGGATTGGGACAAGTGGGGTGTCACTCTTGTTGCCTGCGTATGTGCCGAAGGACATGCGAGGGACACACGGGGACACATGTGCTCCAGATACATACGAAGCAGGGACATGTCACAAATACCCTCCTGGGTAGGACAGGGCCCTACCCAGACATACTGCACAGCAGCCCCTTGGCCTGATATTTCCTCGTCTCCCTACTTGTTTCCTTTCATCCCTACTCCCCACCCCACATTCACCTCCACCTCCCCAAACTCTGTCCCGACCAACCGAGTATCCAGGGGCTACCGACAGCCCCGGATAGTTCTTACCTCCACGCTTCTGCAGATGCTCTTCTCTCGACCTGCAACACTCTTCCCTTTGACCTCAAACCCTAAGTACCAGCTTACTCCTCCTCACTTTCACGTCTTAGCAGACAGGCCGGTCCCCTAGGAGCCTCTTCTCCGGACTCTCCCAGTACTCTGCGCACCTTCTTTACCACTTTGCTCCCCTAACATTGTTAGAGCCTCGTTCTGGGTCTGTGTCATCACGTCCCCAGCAAGTCCAGGAACACGTACTTCCAGCTGCCCACTTGTGCTCCTGAGTCACGATTTTACCCACACTTCCTCTGCAGGACAGACACTCTCTCAGGCCACCCCGGTGCTACTATTGACTCCAGGCAAATAGTGTCCGGATCTGGAGCCTCTTACAATGTTGGTCCTGGATGAGAGCCACATGAGGTTGCGGATGGGTGAAGAGGGAGGCCTGAGAAGGGGGCCCAGGGGAATTCAGGCAAAGGGGCACTCTTCGCCCTCTTCCTGGTCCCAACACAGCCTTTGGAAAGAGACTTTAGGCGCCCTCATTTAAAAAAAAATTTTTTAAGTAATTTCTATGCTTGATGTGGGGCTCAAACTCACAACCCTGAGATTAAGAGTCACATGCTCTACCAACTGAACCAGCCAGGGCCCTGTAGGCGCCCTCATTCCTACCCAGCCTCCCCAGTGGTGCCCTCAAGAGCTTCCAATGACCCCGTTCCTACTGCTGGAGTTGAGAGCTCCTGGAAGCCCAGCTAGGCTCAGCTTATCCAGTTTTCAGTAGTGAGTGGACAAAACCGAGGTGCTGGCAGCTCCTTGGCTGGAGTCCTGGTGTGGGCAGTGCCTAAGCTGACCCGCCCTGAAATAGGCTGCCCCAAGGAATGTTTTTCTGGAGCATGACCCCCTCAGCCAATAGCCCATGAATGCTTATCCACAGGGCGTAGGCACCCGCACAAGCCTGTCATCCTGGGGGAAGGACCCCACTGGGCATTATCCCACCCTCCACTCAAGGCCCAGCTCCAGGCCCCTCTCCTTCATGGACACATGCTCTGTGACATGGCCTGGGCTCTGTGCTTTATCCATAACCAGTTCATGGCAACCTTTCAACCACCTGATGAGACAGAGGCTGTTCTCATTCCTAGAGATGAAGTAAGGGAGGCCTGGGGGAAGGGACACCTTGCCCCAGTCCCCATGCTGGAGAGCAGTCTTCTTCTTCAGGGGGGCGGCTAGCTGCAGGATGACTCAGCCAGTACAAGGGGTGCATTCAGGACCCTGTGGGTGGAGGAAGTTCTTGAAAGCTGGGGTGGCTGGGACTCTGCCAGCTCCACTAGCTCAGGGAGTTCTGGTCAGAGAGGGCATGAGGCCAGGAAACCGTGACTCTCCCAACTGCCTTTCTATGCATTGTCTCATTAATCCTCCAGGAAAGTCCATTTCTTAGGTGAGGAAACTGAGGTCCAGAGAAGTGCGGAAGAATGCTCAATTGATAAATGGCAGAGTTAGGATTTCATTCCAAGCCAACCGGTTCCAAGTCTTATCCACTAACCACTGTGTGATTTTCTGCAGAAAGGGAGTGAGGGGAGAGAGAGTGTCCCAGGGGAGAGAGAGTGTCGCAGGTAAAAAGATCAGCATGTATAATGACTCATCTGGGAGAGAGAATAAAAGCAGTCTTCTGGGGTTGAAGCATCATTAGTGAGAAGAGAGCGGAAGAAAAGTCAGAGAAGAAGCAGGGACCAGATCTGAGGGCCTTGTAGGCCCAGGTGAGAAGCTGGCATTTCTCCTGGGTGGTTGGGAACTATGGAGGGTTCTAAGCAGGGAAGTCACAGGACACAGTTTAACTCAGGCCTCTCCCTCTGGCTGCTGAACGCAGGATAAATAGACAGAAGGAAGGGAGAGGGGTACAGCGAGGTCAGCTGGGAGGCTAGGGGATGAACTAGCCCCCTCACCTGCAGCAGCTACATTCCTGGCCCCTGCTCCACTCTGCCCAGCCTAGACACTGTGGTGGACTGGGAGTCACAGAGTCTGGGGCCGTATTGTCCCATACGGTCACAGCAAGTGCCAGACAGGCCTGGATTCCTGTCCCTGCTCTGCTTCTCTGGATACACCACCTTGGCCTCTCTGAGCCTTAGTGTCCCCATCTATAATGTGAGGCCAGAAGGAGTCCTTACCGGTCAGGACTCTCGGAGGACTACCTGAGACAAAAAGTCCCCACAATGGGTTGAGCACATGGTGGGGCTCACTTCAGGCGCTGGTTGCTGGGGAGCTGGTACCAACACCCATTAGGATGGGGCCTGGAATGCTGCGGATGCTCAGCCAGGGCCAGCAATCGCTGTAGTTCATAGGAGAAGAAGCCCGGGGCAGTGTTCTTGAGGGCTCTCTGAGGCTTCATGGGCTGAGGTTGTAAGGCCCCAGCTCCGCCAGGCAGCCAGCCTTCTCCCTGTCTGAGTGTGGCTGTCCCCGCGGTGGGGTGGGCAGGGGGAGGCCCTGGAAGCATGGAAAAGGTTGGGTCTCGAGCCCCCTTGGTAAAAACACTCCCACATATCATCTGCCCTTGAGGTACCTGCTGGGCAAGCTGTGGCCTGTGTCTCCCCAGCCGCATACGTCTTCCCAGATCCCACCCAAATCCAGACTCAGGCATCCTGGTTCCTTGGGCCTGAGCTGCTGCCGCAAGACTTTGGGGGACAAGAGGGAGTGTTCTTCCTGGCAAACCTTCCCCCAGCCTGCCTGCCTGCCTGCCAGGAGAATGCATCCCGGTCAGCTCCAAACAAGGCCGCCGGTGGCTGCCACTGTGACGTGTGGAGGCCTTTCCTCCACGGGCAGGCAGCCGCGTGGGCAACAGATGTGTCTGCTCCCTGCCGCCTGTGGCCGTCAGCCGCCGCCACTGAGCCTGTCAGCGGCCTCACGCCCAGGGTGCCTGGACTGCTGGCCGGCCCAGCACCCCCACCAGCCCGCCCTGGCGGACACACAGCAAGGCATACATGCACACGCGCACGCGCGCACACACACACACACACACACACACACACACCCAGCCGTCTCCCTCAGGGAAGTGGGAGATGAAAGGCTCCTGGATGTGTTAAAGGCCCACCTCACTCAGCCCCAGGAACCTGGTGGCCATGGGCTAAGGGCAGATGTGGGAAGCCTCCCAGGACAGCTGGGCCTGCCTGTCACCCGGGCCCCCAGAAATGGGATTCCATGATTCTCCGCTCCACCGGGTGCCCACCCCCTCCCAAGCAGTGGAAAGAAGGCTCTGAAAGCCCAGCCAGCTTGGTCCAGCCTCCACGGAGAGGTGGCAGTACAGTGGGGGAAGGTGGTTCTCAGTTCTCCTGACTCAGGCCCCCAAAGGCAGCCTGTGTGGGGATAAAGGATGGCCCTCAAATGCCCCCAGGTCCCCTCTGCTCTTTCCTCTAGAGTGAGAGCTTTGTCCCCTGGTCTGGGATCCCCAAAGGCAGAGTCTGACTCCCCTGTTTTAGCCCTTCAAACTAAGGGACCCTGAGGTGGGGCCAGGATCCTGTCTCCCCGAGACTGGACACCCCTTCTGAAAGGGCCTGAATCCCCTCCTTAGCTCCTCTGTCCTCTTCAGATTAGCCACCACCCAGGGCTGTGCCCACTCCTCTCTCCTCTGTCTTAAGCCTGGGGCAATGCATGGCCCTGGGAACTGGAGGAACTGGGCCAAGGCTATGCTGGCCCCTGGCCTTGTGTGGTCTTGTGGGGAGGGGGTCTCACAACCTCACAGTCAAGTCTCCCCTTCCCCTGGAAGCCCAAAATTCCTCTTGGTCACTTCCCCTTAGGACGATTGAGGCCATAGATGAGAGTCTGACCAAAACTAGAGTGAGGAAGTGGATGGCTCTTCTTTTCACATTCAGAGAGGACCCCAGGCCTCCCTGGGGTCACCCAGCTCTACTGGCAGGGACCTTTGATAGGAGAAGGGGCTCTCATTTTGCCCCAAATGCTCAGGCTGGGTTCAGTTTAAGCAGCAGTGTTTCTGGGCCTCTGTAGATCTGTCCAGACCCCTGGTCCAGTGTACTCCTTCCCCGGCCTGCAGCAACTCCCCCAAAATGAGACCAGCAGGGAGGCTGGTGTGTGAACTGGGGTGGGGGGGAATCCTTCAAGGGATAGGGCAGGCAGGCCCGGCGCAGGGAGGGAGGGGGTTGGGGCCTCACTGCCCTGCCTGGAAGCCTCCAGAGCCCGTGTGTCGCCCTGGCCAGTCCTTGGCTTTCGAACCTCAGGGACGTCGGGGATTCGGGTCTCGGGTGGACCTCGAGGACAGGGTCTCAGATCGAAGACCTCCCCGCCGCCCCGTGGCCGCCGGACTCACCCGCGAGATGGTGAGGGGTGCGCTGAAGTCCCGGCCGCCCACTAGGCGGAAGCCCCAGGGCGAAGGGCCGCGCAGGGTCACGGAATGGGGCATCGCGGGCGGGAGCCGCAGCCGGAGCCTGAGCCGGACACTGAGGAGCCGGAGCCGCCGCCGCCGCCGCCGCCGCCGCCGCCGCCGCCGCCGCCTGGACGCCGCGCCCCGCCCCCGGGCCGCCCGCCCCCGTACCCCCTCCACCCGGCCCCCGCCCCCGCTCCCCTCGCGCCCGGATTGGCCCCGCGGCCGGCCCGCCCCGCCCACTTCGGGGGGCTCTGAGGACCCGCCCCTCGGCCCGCGCGTCTAGAGCCCGGCACCCCCCTCCGCGGTCGCGGAGACCCCGGGACCAGGACAGCCCCCACGTCCGGGATCCTGCCCTGGCCTCGCCCTGAGGGCCGCAGACCCTTTCGGGCACGGGCCTTTTGAAGTCCCATTTATCGGCGGCGCCCCAGCCTGAGGAGGGATGGGGGCGGCCCAGATGGGGGATGGGGCCGTGCCTTGCCCCGAAAACTCCTCAAGGTCCTGGCAGGCCGACCTGCCTCCCTACCCCTCGCAGTGGTGCGAGTCCTCCTCTACACAGCAAGCACTGACGAGCAGCCACCGGCCTGAGGAGGCCTGGGCCAGGGACACAGCCCCAGGATGACAGCAGGCAGTGCCAAGTATGGGGTGAGAAAAGCAAGGTCCCCAGCCTCGTTCTGGGAGGCCAGGAGGTCTGTCTGGAAGAAGTGGCCCCTGACTTGAGTCTAGAAGCAAGGTGGCGTCTTGTCCTTACAGGTGTCACTCCTTCCCCAGCTTTCCTCCTCTCTCAGGCGTCTCCCAGGCTGCACTGCCTCTTCCCGTCCTCCTTTGCAGGGATTTTTGTTTCCCCAGGCTTCCTAGAAAAGGAGCAGCTAAGGTGGTTGGGGTAGTAGCGGCACCACTCGTGGGGAGTGATGTATTTGAGGGGCATGGAATTGGGGGCAGGCTTTCGCTTCACGCCCTTCCTGGTGCTGTCTTCACTCGGCCATTGTCCTCCAGGGATGTCCTTGAACGGCCCTTGCAGGTGCCATGGCTTGGCTCCCCTGGACACTTCGTGTCTGGCTGTGTCAGGAAAGCACTGTTTGGGTTTTTTTACCCCAGATTCTGAGGAGGCCCCTAACTTAGCCATTCTTGACAACCCTGTGTGCCCTCTTAGCCAACTTTTTGTAAGGGCTCTGCCCTCTTGAGGCTAACAGGCTATGGGGTGAGATATGTCCATAGGGTCTCTAACAGCCCCAAGAAGGGAGGCCACATAAGAGGCACAAACTCGGGTGCCTGGGTGACTCAGTCATTATGCATCTGCCTTCGGCTGAGGTCATGATCCCATGGTCCTGGGATCGAGCCCCGCATCTGGCCGTTTGCTCAGCAGGGAGCCTGCCTCTCCCTCTCCCACTGCCTCTGCCTGCCGTCCCCCTGCTTGTGCTCTCTCTCTGTCAAATAAATAAATAAAATCTTAAAAAAGAGAGAGAGAGAAACTTAGGGTAGTCCAAGGAATGGGGGGTGCCTTCACAGTGGAACGTGGGTTCCTCTCTGGGGGGTGGGGTGCTGCTGTCTGTTCAGATGGCAGAGAAAGGTGAGTGGTATGAGTGGCAGTGGTATGTATTGGGGGGGTGTTCATACCCACAGAGTGCCAGCCACAGTATTGGGCTCTCAGTCCTGTGAGGTGGAGGTTTCTGCTCAGCCCTATACAGGCCTGGAGAGGAGTGGACTTGGACAGAGTGGAGGGGCCAGCAGAAAGCCGATCTCCGGATGGTCTCTAAGAGGTCCTTAGGCAAGAGGCTCCACAGACCTTGGATCCCACTGAGTGACATGGACAGTGGGGACAACCATCACCTATCACACACTGTCCAAGTGTTAGATGCACAGGATGGCTGGGTAGTCAGAGACCCCTTATCTGGATTCCAGGAACTATAGTGAATGTAAGTGGCACAGAGTCATGCTGGGGGAAAGGGATCCTTAAGAAGTCTGTGGAAGTTCCTACCTGAGACATCCAGTGGATTCTTGAAACTCCTCCTTAGCACTGCTTTCTTCACCCAACTTACACACCTCTAGAGACTGTCAACCCACACCCCCACCCCACCCATCCTGAAATCACTTCACTGCCTTCCTGTTTACTTCCTTTTTCAGGGAGGCATATCACTCTCTTCCAGAAGTAGTCCTCCTGAATATGACTTTCCTGGCCCTTTATGATCTTGTCAGTGTAATCCATCTGTGAGGGCTTCTATCACAGGGTTGAAGATGGGGGTGGGGTGGGGAGTGGCTCTTCTAGAATCTGTACATAAACTTATCCATTTCAATGTGCAGTTTCGGGGTCCGTTCCAGGGTCCATGCCAGTTATCTTGCACAGTGGGTCCTTGATGGCATCCCTGACTTGAGAGGGCTTCAGAAGCCCGTTCCTGACAGTGCCCTCCCACAGGACACAGCCTGGGCAGGCTGTGCTCCTGAGACTGGGGACAGACCTTAGGAGCCACACTGTGGGCTCACTCCTGAGGTAGCCGGTGTCCTGAATAGCAGGCCAGATAAGTATCCCTGATACTTCCTCCAGGAAGCCTTCAGAAATTCCTTTCACTCTTAATGGCCTTAATGCTGTGTTGTCGAATCCCTATCATGCCAGGAAATCACATCACAGGGCAATTACAGGGTCTGGGAGTCCTCTCCAAGGTGGAGATGGGTGGCAGCTGGGTCATGCCTCACCTTTGACCTAGTGGACTTCACTTGTTCACTGCACACCACCAGGCATCTGTGCTGTTGGGTATCACCAATGCATTTCATGCATTCTCTATTCATTCAACAAAGATGTATGGAGTGCTTTTCCTACGCCATGGCCCGTGCCTACCCGGGGCTGGGGTCAAGGCATCCGTGGGGGGCAAAGCCTGTGTCTATCTTATTTATTTATGTTTTCCCGGCACCCAGCAGAGAGCCTGGCACACAGAGGGTGTTCAAAAACATTGGCTATTCGATAGCATTATCATTGTTATAGGAAATATCATCTCGGCTCACCCCATGGCCACCACCCAGAGAGAGGCAGGGAGGGCGTGAGGGGCCAGGAAGGGGGAAGACTTCTGCTCCTGCTGCCGTGGAGGTCACTCTCAAGGGACCCAAGTGGCTCAGGGCACTATGCCCAGGCTCTCTGTGAGCAGCCAAGGTCAGGAGAAAACACAGTGCTTTTTCCTCAATGAGCTGGCAAACTCTAGCAGGAGCAGAAGCTGTTGGAAGATGCCCTTGGGGCTGAGGCTACAGTGCAGGGGAGGGAAGTGCCAGGAGAAGAACAACCTCAGGCCAACCTGAGGATGAGGCCAGCCTAGGGGACGGCCCAGCATAGGAAGCAGACCTGGGTTGGGGGGTGGGGGTGTGAAGTGAAGCTGATGGAGCTGCCCATGAGGATACCTCCCTGCGAGGTGCTAGAGGTTAGTCGGAAAGCCCAGACCTGGATCTGCCCCATCCTGGCCCTGTGGCCACAGGTCTCTGAGTGGAGTCTGCCCCATTCAGGCTCAGCTCCTCAGGTCAATACCTCCCTTTCTGTAGGCCCAGCTTCCTCCCCCAGTCAGTAGCCTGGATTCCAAGGGGATTTAAATCCTTAATGGGTCATCCCCTCTTCATGAGGTACCCAGTCCACAGTACTGACTACTGCAGGGCCCCAGAGGACAGTGAAAGAAGAAACTGAGAAGCCCCCGTTTTAGGGTGGCCTGTTTGGCCTCGCTCCTGGTCCTGTAGCTTCTGGTCACCCAGGGGTCTGCTCTCCACGAGGCTTGCTGCTCACGGTTAGGAGTCTCTGAGTCTGCAGGATGGAGAGAACAGCAATCTGTGGCAAGGCTGGATGAGGAGGGGCTGTGGGGGCCTTCTGTAGGGCTAGGACTTGGCCCTACATTAGTAGGGAGCCAAGGTGGGTCCTAGGCAGGGTTTGAGGGGCTCTGAAAGGAACAGAGGCATCCAGGAGCATGGGCACCAGGCAATATCTAAAAGGAAATCTGGGGTCGTGTAGCCTGTGAGGCACGTGGAGGGCTGATGCACCACACATCCTGGGTGGACAGGATTCGGCCAAGGAGGTAATAAAGCTGGCTTTTGAGCTGGGTTTGGTGCCACAGAACACACGGGGGAAGGTGTGCCTGTGACCAAGGGAGTTTCCCAGCTCTAGTTTTGTGCCATTAGATCCCTCAACAAACACAGAGTACCTGCTGTATGTGTAGCCTAGACCTGATTAACAGGACTTGGAGGTTTGGTGGGGACTTCCCACCCTGCCGCAACTCCCCTTGGGGGCTGAGAGGCTAGGGGCTCCAGGGAAGGCCAGTCTCTGAGGGTCCAAATGGAGACAAAGCTGATTTTGACAACTGAAGCCTAGTTCCTGGCTCTGAGCCAGGTTCCAGGACAGGCACAAAAGCAGAACCAATTCCGGTCAGGAAACTCAGCCCTGGGGAGGGCAAGTGACCACCCCAGGCTCATCTAGCTTCTCAGCAGTTCATCTGGGGCTTAGACCCTACCCTGGTGGCTTTAGGCCATGCCCCTTGCAGCAGGGACTGGACATGTCTCAGTCAGACCTGCAACCCCCAACAGCACCCCTGTCAGACCTGCTCTGTGTCTACTTTCACAGAGAAAACCTGTCTACTCTGGGTCCCAACAAAGGGGCTGCCAGGCAGCAGGGTGGGGCCAGGTTTACCCAGCTGGGCCCAGGGAGGCCCCGGCCCTGAGGCTTGGGAGTGGTGGATGTTGGGAGGAGTGCCATCTCACAGAAGGGGGAGGCAGCAGACAATGGGAGAGGCAGCTCAGCCAGCTCAGGCAGGGAAGTGACAGAACAGGCCGGCAGCCTTGGTGGTGAGATTGAGTGGGATTGAGTGTTGTGCGCCGGGGCCTCAAGAAGACTGCTTCTAGAGGCACCATGGTCTTGCTTGGCCGCAAGGATACCCCCGTCCTTACCTTCCATCCTACTTCTCATTCAGGCCAGAGGGTGCAGACAGCCTGCCCTGGATTACCCAGCCTCCCCTGGCACCAGATGTCTCAATTCTACTTGTATCCTCCAAATAGAAGCCCAACCCAGGGGTTCTCAGGTTTCCAGCTTCCCCTGACAGGTGAGGGCTGCTATCAGCCAGCCATGCTGGGCCTTGTGCAGAGAAGATACCTCCTTGTTTAAATCAGCTGCTCCAGC